TCGCACTTATCTCTAAGAACGTTCGTGTTAAGAATGTCGGAAGGTGTACCACCACGATATATAGCCACTACATAAACATGTGATTGAATATACCAGTAATCCAAAGTACCTTTAATATCAGTTTCAAATCTACCACAGTCTGTACCCCACTCTATCAGTATTAAATCTACCAAAGCCTCCCCCCCACTAGATCAGTATTAAATCTACCACCCCCCCCCCCCCACTATATCATTATTAAATCTACCACCACCCCCACTGTATCAATATTAAATCTACCACCCACCCCACTATATCAGTTTTAAATCTACCACCTCCACCACCCCCACTATATCAGTTTTAAATCTACCACCACCACCCGCCAATATATCAGTATTAAATCTACCAAAGTCCCCCTCCCCCACTATATCAATATTAAATATACCACACCCACCCCACTATATCAATATTAAATCTACCAAAGTCCCCCCCCCCACTATATCAATATTAAATATACCACATCCACCCCACTATATCAATATTAAATCTACCAAAGTCCCCCCCCCCCACTATATCAATATTTAATATACCACACCCACCCCACTATATCAATATTAAATCTACCAAAGTCCCCCCCCCACTATATCAATATTAAATATACCACACCCACCCCACTATATCAATATTAAATCTACCAAAGTCCCCCCCCCCCCACTATATCAATATTAAATCTACCACACCCACCCCACTATATCAATATTAAATCTACCAAAGTCCCCCCCCCACTATATCAATATTAAATCTACCACACCCATCCCCACTATAACAGTATTAAATCTACCACAGTCCCACATAAAACCACAGCCTCCCCACTATATTAATATTATATCCACCCCCACCCCCACATCCACCCACCATATAACCATCGGATAACAACACCACGCACTTCATATATTATCAACATGAGTATACTAACAAAAGTAGCGGGAAGAAATGCGTCATGATTCCTACGAGGTATCTCAGAACATAAAACCAAAGAATACAAAAACACTTAAGAAATAAAAAATGTAAACAATGTAAACTTTTTAAACTAACTCTCCCCCGCTGTGCTCAAACTTATCCTTTGAAATTCCCAGTATCCGGAAGTGTCAAGTTCTTTCCCTCTATCCACCCCAAGTGAAAACAGAAAAAAATGTGGATAAGAAAATGTTTTCAAAACTCTGTCCTTCGAGTCCCATTTCTTCTTGAATCTACACTGTCGCTTTACACCTGTCATGTGCCAGATTTTTACTTCCTTCACTATGAACTTTAAAGTTAGCACCAACAGTTTTTTCTGTGTACACGTGGAAAACGTTGGCAAATAGACATTGCTTTTTCCATCTGAATTTTCTTAGAAAATTTTACTGGGTTTTTATTTTTATTTTTGATGACTCTGATATATCATATTATAATATGTGTGTGTGAGTGTGTGTGCTATCACATAGGTAGTTTGATATAGTGTCACCATCGTGATAACATATTATGTCACCCCATAGAGACCAAATATGTGACACACGTGGAGCCACACAGTCACACAACGACGTGCCTCTACACGGGTTACACGAACTACACGGGTTACACGAACTACACGAACTACACGAACTACACGGGTTACACGAACTACACGAACTACACGGGTTACACGAACTACACGGGTTACACGAACTACACGGGTTACACGAACTACACGGGTTACACGAACTACACGGGTTACACGAACTACACGGGTTACACGAACTACACGGGTTACACGAACTACACGGGTTACACGAACTACACGGGTTACACGAACTACACGGGTTACACGAACTACACGGGTTACACGAACTACACGGGTTACACGAACTACACGGGTTACACGAACTACACGGGTTACACGAACTACACGGGTTACACGAACTACACGGGTTACACGAACTACACGGGTTACACGAACTACACGGGTTACACGAACTACACGGGTTACACGAACTACACGGGTTACACGAACTACACGGGTTACACGAACTACACAGGTTACACGAACTACACGGGTTACACGAACTACACGGGTTACACGAACTACACGGGTTACACGAACTACACGGGTTACACGAACTACACAGGTACACGAACTACACGGGTTACACGAACTACACGGGTTACACGAACTACACGGGTTACACGGGTTACACGAACTACACGGGTCACACGAACTACACGGGTTACACGAACTACACGAACTACACGGGTTACACGAACTACACGGGTTACACGAACTACACGAACTACACGGGTTACACGAACTACACGGGTTACACGGGTTACATGAACTACACGGGTTACATGAACTACACGGGTTACACGAACTACACGGGTTACACGAACTACACGGGTTACACGAACTACACAGGTTACACGAACTACACGGGTTACACGAACTACACAGGTTACACGAACTACACGGGTTACACGAACTACACGGGTTACACGAACTACACGGGTTACACGAACTACACGGGTTACACGAACTACACAGGTACACGAACTACACGGGTTACACGAACTACACGGGTTACACGAACTACACGGGTTACACGGGTTACACGAACTACACGGGTCACACGAACTACACGGGTTACACGAACTACACGAACTACACGGGTTACACGAACTACACGGGTTACACGAACTACACGGGTTACACGAACTACACGGGTTACACGAACTACACGGGTTACACGGGTTACATGAACTACACGGGTTACATGAACTACACGGGTTACACGAACTACACGGGTTACACGAACTACACGGGTTACACGAACTACACGGGTTACACGAAAACTTTGTGTCTGAGCCCCCAGCGTCAGAACAAGTGTGCACTAGAAACTTTTTTTTAGTCCCATCATCGCAATATTTCGTTGGCTCTCAACAATTTTTTTAGTCCCAACATCGCAATATTTCGTTGGCTCTCAACAATTTTTTTAGTCCCATCATCGCAATATTTCGTTGGCTCTCAACAATTTTTTTAGTCCCATCATCGCAATATTTCGTTGACTCTCAACAATTTTTTTAGTCCCATCATCGCAATATTTCGTTGGCTCTCAACAATTTTTTTAGTCCCATCATCGCAATATTTCGTTGACTCTCAACAATTTTTTTAGTCCCATCATCGCAATATTTCGTTGGCTCTCAACAATTTTTTTAGTCCCATCATCGCAATATTTCGTTGGCTCTCAACGATTTTTTTAGTCCCAACATCGCAATATTTCGTTGACTCTCAACAATTTTTTTAGTCCCATCATCGCAATATTTCGTTGACTCTCAACAATTTTTTTAGTCCCATCATCGCAATATTTCGTTGGCTCTCAACAATTTTTTTAGTCCCATCATCGCAATATTTCGTTGGCTCTCAACGATTTCAAAGATTCTCAAGGCGATCCAAAAAAAAATTAAAAGCATGTCTTAAACATGATGGTTAAATTTGGTGACACTTGGTCCGTTCAAGTTAAGCTATTTACAAAATGTGTGGGTTTTTTTTAATCTTGATGAGCTGTGTAAGTATTTAGTAAGAAGCAAATACTAGTGTCTTACAATACATTCGTATGAGATTACCACAAACACAACTAACAATAAATACATTCAAAAATACCACAAACAAACACAATGAACAATAGATCCATTTTAAAACACCACAGACACAACTAAAAATAAATGCATATAAAGATACCACAAACACAACTAACAATTAAAACTTACAAAGACACCACGAATAAACAATTAAGAGTTAAAACATTCAAAACACCACAAACAAAAAACAGTTATCAATGCAATTATCGGTCTACATTTAATGCTACAACAAACAGCTCCTACAGAGGCTGCATCAAACAGCGCGAAAGTAACTTATGAAGTTTCCATTTCACCAGTAAGTGATCTTGTTTAAGACGTAACATACAACTTAGAAATGATTACCCATCAAGGCCATCCCCAACATGATGTTCGCTTATTTGGGTTAATAATTTACGTCCAACCCCCACAAAAACAAACTAGGAAACAGATCTATAAACACAATATATGGTTAATGGGAAACTACTCTAAGCACTAGACTAACGGGAAACAACTGTAAGCACTAGACTAACGGGAAACAACTGTAAGCACTAGACTAATGGGAAACAACTGTAAGCACTAGGCTAACGGGAAACAACTGTAAGCAATAGACTAACGGGAAACAACTGTAAGCACTAGACTAATGGGAAACAACTGTAATCACTAGACTAATGGGAAACAACTATAAGCACTGGACTAATGGAAAACAACTATAAGCACTAGACTAATGGGAAATAACTGTAAGCACTAGACTAATGGGAAACAACTATAAGCACTAGACTAATGGAAAACAACTGTAAGCACTAGACTAACGGGAAACAACTGTAAGCACTAGACTAATGGGAAACAACTGTAAGCACTGGACTAATGGAAAACAACTGTAAGCACTAGACTAATGGGAAATAACTGTAAGCACTAGACTAATGGGAAACAACTATAAGCACTAGACTAATGGAAAACAACTGTAAGCACTAGACTAACGGGAAACAACTGTAAGCACTAGACTAATGGGAAACAACTGTAAGCACTAGACTAATGGGAAACAACTGTAAGCACTAGACTAATTGGAAACAACTATAAGCACAACAGGAAACTAGTTTATCTGTCCATTCTAATAACCTTAACTTGAGCAGCTAAAAATGTATTAATTTTAAACATTTAATTAATATTATTATAACCTTTTATATAGCTAGCCCGTTTATTTTACAGAAATCTAACACTGGTTTTTTTTATGTTAAAACAGCTTCTACCGCCTCTTTTGATGTATGTGAACAATACATTAACCATTTTAAAAATTGTTTTCATCAGTTTTTTATCAAATTAACAATCCAATCGTAAAAATCCATGATATTGTTTGGACATAAAAAGCCGTTTTAAATTGATTAACTTTGACTTACCTTAACGTCTGCCCAACACTGTTTTATTTTACACTAGACTGAGTACAAGTGTTTTTTTGGACTGAGACTTGCCTTACACCAAACTTAACGAATCGTGACAACTTTTTACTGTCGTCTTTCCCAATTCGCGAACCCTACACGAACCTTTGATGCCCCCCCTCCCCCTCTGGTAACCTGGAGGGCTGTAACAGTGGATTACCCCTTACATTTTCCCACCCCGCCCGCGTTTGTCTTCTAATGAATGAAAGCTGCCACTTGGGTCCGTAAAAATACAATCACGCCGTTGGGCTGGTGTATCCGAGAATAAATAGACTGCGCAACCAATGAGTCACCACAAACAAAGATAGAATTACCTCAGTCGACTCAAATCCTATAGAGTCCTATAAGTTGCTAGTCTAAAATGGAACACTTGAAACTCAAAGCTCCGCGTATATTAAACACGTCGTTCCACTCAGTGAAGGAATATTAAAACTAGCCGTACGGCGGATACACGGGCTACCTGCATGTACACACGGAAGTAACCGGATGGATTTTCCTACCCGATCTGTCAACACTGGCACGACTCACCTGCAGCGCGACATCTGGGTCACCTTGACAGTGTGGTTGGCTCACAGGCTCCTGATTGGCTGGACGCTGTACACCTTACCGCGCGCTACATAGTGTCGCTCTCCCTTCACCTGTCGTCAGCCTTTGTTTATCGTTAGTCGATGTTGATGTATGAGAGTAGCGCTCTATACAACCTAGTTAAATACGTGATAAAACGTATAGATTTTTTTTTGAAACTGTAGTCTATGTTCAGCCGCAGGACAGAGGCGTAGCGACCAATTCCGGTGCCCGGGGCGGAATATATATTTTTGCGCCCCTCCCTCCCATTCTATTTATAGTTATTCCTGTCTTTGAAAAGTAAATAAATAAATAAATTGGAAAGGTTTGTGGAGCTTCTTACCCAGTTACTATCCCATTAGATTTTCTATTTCGGTGCCACAAAATTGACATAGAAACAGTTACACCAATGTGAAACGCCTTGAAGTCGTTTATTTTCGTAACTTTGACTATATATAATTTAATACTTCGGCTTAAAATGAGTTTTTCAATTAATTTTTCTACCCCCTTTTGGCGCACCCTTAGGGTCTGCGCCCGGGGCGACCGCCCCACCCGCCCTCCCCTAGTTACGCCCCTGCCGCAGGAAAACAATAAAAGCTTTGGTCGCTCATGATATCGTTTACATGATTTAGCGACAAAAGCTTTAATGAAAGAAAGTAAATTTGTTTTATATTCTTATTTTCAGTGCTATAAACGTTTTTTTTTTAAATATATATTTGTTTAGTTTTATTTTATGTGGAGTAGATATAGAGGAAATATTGAAATCGTGAAAAATAACGTTTTACACCTTGCCAAATGGGGGGGGGGGGGGGGGGGGGAACATAGTTTTGCAATTTAGCCTGTCTCAGCCTCTCTCTCTCTCTGTCTCTCTGTCTCTGTCTCTCTCTATGTGTGCGTGTGTGTTCGCGCGCGTGCGTGCGTGCTTGTACGTATGTGTGCGTATTGTATTAAATATGTAGTTTTCTATCAAATTTTGAGCGATTTCACTAACCGTTTCTCAAAACTATTAGATTGTATAAGCATATTCTATCAGCTTTTGAACGATTTCCGGAAGGGAAATTCTGAGGGAACACGATAACTTGAGTAGGCCTACTGTTTCAGTTCGGTAAATGAAATAGGCCTATATATATGAATGTATGTGTCTGTCTTGTATGCATTTATACACCTTTCATCCGATCGCAGGAAACTATGGTTTGTCGGTGATAGGGTATGGTTTGGCGCCCAGAGTTCCCCATGGCTATCTTAGCACCTGAGATCTGTTGATTGATCGTCCTGCTCAGGGGGTCCGGGGTATTACTTGATTCAACAAACAGCACCAGGCGCATCAGCCGGCGAGTCGGCGGTTGGGTGACCCAAATCACCCCAATCTCCTCCGTAGGAATTAAGGCATCTACGTTCGTTTTAAAGAGAGACACATACTATGAATACATCGGGCTACTAAAATCGTTGACTAAATAGAACCAGACGAGTTCGCCGGCGGTCGGGTGACCTGGCGCACCCCGACTCCCCACTGAACACTATGCAGCCTACATTCGTTTTAGAGCACCCTACAATAGGGACACGGTGGTTCGCTACATTCGATAACTAAACCAAACAAGAGGGCGCAGCCGGCGCCCCTGGGGTAGAAAAACAGGTGGCTCACACGAGTGCAATGCGGTCGCTATTAGGTTTCTACCTCAGTATTATGAATGGTGACTAACGTACACTTTAGGCTTCATACAGCACGCTCAGTGGCGTTTTAGGGGGGGGGGTGACACCAAGACAAAAAAATAGCAAAATATAGAGAGAAAAACTTGAGGGGGGTGCAAATCGAAAGTTTGAGAGGGGGGGGGGGTGCAAATCAAAAACTTGAGGGGGGTGCAAATCGAAAGTTTGAGGGGGGTGCAAATAAAAAAATTTGAAAGTTTGAAAGTTTGTCCCCGGGAAGGGTCGCTACGCCTCTGGGGGGTGACACCATTAAGTGCCGCACCACTGCATGTGGTACATCATTCCGATTTCTCAAAAACCATTAGGATTTGATGATTTTATATCATAAAAACTTTTGGTCTGTAATGTTTTTTGTCGAAAAATAAGCGGCTTTTTCACAGCATTCTATATTTCTAATAACCAATTCCACTGCAAGGTAAAGAACTTCCAATGGATTATAATCTTACTCCGAGAAGCAAAGGGTTGCAACTACACCACTCCACGAGACGGTTTTAGACAGCTCTCTTTAGTTGAGCCCATGTAAGCCACGCAATCCTCGCTTTTCCTTCCACAGTGCTTCTCCAGGATTGTTTACGTTGGCCCTTGTTTTCTCTTCTTTTGACAGTTCCACTCGCGATATTTAATAATAATATCCTTGATGTTTTGTTAACAGTGTTCCTTTCAGACATTTTAATTAGTGTGGAAGGGGGGGATTGAATCTTCTGGGTTTAGGGCGCACTTAAATTCCCGGGAGACAAATACTGGTTAAAGTATTTATTTCCTATATTTTAAAAAGTTGTTTCTATTTCTTTCAATGGGGGTGGGGCGGTGGGGTGCTGTTGGGGGGGGGGGGGTAGTGCTCCCCCTGAAGAGATACAGGAAAGAAACTCTGGTCTTCGGACATCTTTTCTAGCCATCTTATCTTTAGAAATCGCCGTAGACATCTAATTCTGGTGGTCCATAGCCCATAGTTATTTTACCTAGTACCCACCAAGTCTCTCAGCCATATAGCAGTACTGTGTTGACATTTGTATTGAAGATTTGTATCTTGCTTTGTGGTGCTAGTTTTTGCAATCCCACATCGGACATCTGGATTTAGAGGCGCATCTCACATTGTTGATACGATTGTTTATGTCCTCGTAGGCTTCCCGTATTTGTTTATTATGATGCAGAGATCATGGATGATACTGATTCTGACGACCTGTGTGTTTTTTTAAATTGACTTTGAGTCCTGCTTTAGTCGAGGCTTCACATAGTCGGTTTTGTTTGAGCATGTTGCTTCTGAGATAGTAGGCAAACATCATCAGCAAAATCAAGATCCTCCACTTTTTGGTGGTTCCATAACATTTATGTTTAATTGTTTGTAGTTTGTAGTCTTCTGCATTTCCCATTCAATTACCATCATGAAACATTGGCCGTAAGCATACATCCCTGGCTCAGTCATGTCTTCAATATGACGGCCATTAGGGGCAGATAATTTAGCTTTTAAATAATTTGAAAGTAAGGAGCAGAGTTTCTTCCAGGCATCTCTTCGGGGGGGGGGCGAAGCCCCCCCGAAAAATTTTTACCGCCCCCCCCGAACGAAATGAAATTTACATAATTTATATAGAAAATATATACTTTTAGCAGTGTCCGCCCCCCCCCCCCCCGAAGAAAGTTTACCGCCCCCCCGAAGATTTCAAGTGCCCCCCCGGAGAAAAAAGTCTGGAAGAAACACTGGTAAGGAGAGGTAAGAAGTTCTGCTTGATCTTTTCATGGTCGTCTGTAAACTGTCGTCACAGACGGCTGCTTTCACCGGGGGAGGAGGGGGGGTGCGGGGGGGGGGGGGGGGTAAAGAGAGGGCAGTGTCGAATTCACAATTTATGAATTACTGAAAAGTAGAAAAAAAACAACTAAATAGCAGCGTATGCTTACGGCGCGGGTCAGCTCGTAGTATATAAAACAGCTAAGCAAAATCAGACTAGAAATACAATGCAGAGCACTTTGAATTCCGTATTTAGTATTTACCCTAGTGTCATAGGTAGCTATTTATAAGATTTTAGTTCTAGACTGCTCCAGTCTCTTTTTGTTTATTGCAAGCTTTCAACACCTCTGTTAATCTTAGAAGCCGAGTACAGCTTAATCTAGCTCTAAATATTAAAGTCTCATACAAGTTGGTTAGTAATCAGTAGTGTACGCTCTTTTTGGTTTTTAGAATTACCGTTTAATTCAAAATGGCGGCGTCCTTAAGACTTTTGTGTAAAGTTACCAATCGGTTCCAGATAAATTGGAAAAGTTCTTTTTCTTTATTAAAATCTACAAAGCGGTATTTTTTATCAGAAACATACTCTTGTAACGATGCGTGGAACAAATACCTACAGGATCCAACTTTGAAAAAGGTGTGAATTTCAACCCGGTAACTTCTTTATAGTTTTTCTTGCTACGCGCTACTCCTAGTCCTGGACTAGTGGACTAGTCCACTCCTTGTTTGTACTTGTCTGGTCCCTCACTCTTGTCGCTAACTGAGTACTGAGTAAAATATGTATTTATTTACACTTTGGCCTAAATAAGGCATGTGAATAAATATAAATTATAAAGTAAACTATCAGTGGGCGATATTTTGAGTCGACCCTTTGAATCCTGGACAGATGTAGCCTGGCCTCAACCAACCACTGGGCGTGTTGTATTAAATTTTATTAATTAATATAAACTCAAATCATTAGGCTAATATAAACAATCTCCTTTTAGTCAGTCAGGCCACGTACCACGCATGCACAAAACAAACTCCCCATTATAGTAGGGTTGTCGGCATCCGCCGAGTTCGCGGTAAAAACATGACCCGAAATCGCCCATTACTTTCTGATACCGGACCCACGAGATTTGGTTTTGCATACTAATAAGTTTTTAATTTATGGTAATTAATTAAGTTTAAAAGGTCATTTCCTAAGGTTAATTAAAAAGAAGAGTTGTTATCCCTTAGTTTTAATGGCTTTGCGACCTGATTGCATGCTGTCTCTGCTTTGGTCTTCCCTCTGTATCAAGGTTAGTTTCAAATACGTTGGAATCTTGATTTTTTAAAAGATTCCTCTAGATGAGAGTAGATTACTGATCAGACATATCTTAAGTAATTGGAAATGAAATTTGTTTTTGGATATTTTGACTCCGACATTAGTTATACCCCTCCGAACGTAGTCACTGTATGTAGGTCACGCTGCCACCATTGTTATATTTTTTCATCCCGATCTTCCTGCCTTTAAGTTTGATCAACTAATAACAGCATTCTTATGGCATGTGCAAACAAATCTAATTTTTTATTTCAAAATATATTTACATACCCATCTTTCATTTTTTCAGCTCTAGTTCTAGTTTTGCAGAATATGTTTTTCCTAAAAATCCAATTTTGTCAGACTAGACTCTAGACTGACGAGAGTCAGACCTAGATCTAGGTTACCTGTCTGTTGCTATACACTAGCATTGTGCTAACTGTAATTTTAAGTATTCAAGTTCTACTTACCCTTAGATATAGTTATATGCTGAAAATCAGAATCCATACACAATTCACACATAAAAACATTGATCTGATAACTTCATTTCACTTATTACAAAATGGCTTTTATATGGACTCTACTTCACCTGCCCAAAATAACAAGGCAGTTATAGACACATTACAGTGTTCAAGTCATTTACTTTAGATTTCTGACTATGGAGTTCTTTCATTCACTGTATTTATATAAAATATTGCTTTAGAAACATTTTCATATTTGCGCAGCAGTTTTATAACAAAATGGCTTAAAGATGGACTCTACTTCACCTGCCCAAAATAATGAGGCAATTATATGCACATAACAGTGTTCAAGTCATTTACTTTAGATTTCTAACTTTGTAGTTATTTCATTTGCTGTATTTATATAAAATATGGCTTTAGAAACATTTTCATATTTGCGCAGCACACAGTTTTTTGGGGTTATGGGAGGAAGCCAACACAAAAATATAAGTTCTGTATTATTTTTATTAATTTCAACAGCATTTACAAGTTCTATATATCATTCTAGTTAAACTCTGCAAATATGAACAAAATACAACTGCAAGTAAAATAACTATGCTCAATTTATTCAGGTATACCATGACTTGTCACAATTGGCCAATGCTAAAGCAAGGGGATTCCACCCCTCACAAAAAAATTCGCAAAAAAAAAACTATTTGAGCTAGACAAAAAATCTTTTTTGTTTTGTTTTCATTTTGTTGAGCTCTACAAGAATATGTAATTTTTATTTTTATATGATGATTAGTGTTTTTTTACCTAAATCCCTAATTATAGTAGGGTTGTCGGTATCGGCCGAGATCGCGGTAAAAACATGACTCGAAATCTCCCATTTCTTTCTGATACCGGGCGCACGAGATTTGGTTTTGCATACTAATAAGTTTTTAATTTATGGTAATTAATTAAGTTTAAAAGGTCATTTCCTAATGTTAAATGAAAAGTAGAATGGTTTTCCCATTGTTTTGATAGCTTAGCCATCTGATTGCATGCTGTCTCTGCTTTGGTCTTCCCCCTGTATGAAGGCTAGTTTCAAATACGTTGGAATCACGATTTTTTAAAAGGTTATTCTAGATGAGTGAAGATTACTGAGCAGACATATCTTATATATGTGGAAATGATATTTGTTTTTGATATTTTGATTCTGACATTAGATATACTCGTTTAGAGGTAGTCACTGTATGTAGGTCGCGTTGCCACTATTGTTATATTTTTTCATCCCGATCTGCCCATTTTGAAAAACATGGCTTTTACTTTTACTGCCCTTAGTTAGTTATAGGCTAAGGATAGAGTTAGCCAGTAAATGTTTTTAATGGAATAAGCATATCCTGCATTTTGCTAGTTATCTTACAAGATGCCTAGATATGTAATTAGTATGAAATGCAATTTATTTTTTCAGGAAATATCATGAATTATTAGTATTTTCACTGAGGGGTTAATTAAAAGTAATGAATTCTTAAATTCAAGCACAAAATGCAACTGTTTACACATTTAATTTTAGTCTATATGATAAAACAAAGGTTAAACAGAATCTAAGGTAGTTAATTCTTGGCTGTTAATTATCAAAATTCATGCTTTTTTGTTGCTTCTAAAACAATTGGACAATCATAATCCATTATTTACTTTCTATTATTCATGCCACACTACAATACATTCCAGCTAATGAGAGTACCGATTCCTTTTTTATCCAGATTTCTTTAAGTGACTTTGCTTACCAAATACAAGAGCAGCTACAGAAAGATGGTATGGTTTCAGCTGTTGATATTAATGTTCTAGCTCACCAGCTTCAACAGCTAGATGAAGATGAAGCTGAATTTATGGAGGATATTCTTGCAAAGTAAGTAAAACTTGTATAAGTATTACACTTTTGGTTTGTTGCATATATTAGTACTTTTACACTGTATATTATTTAGTTAATTTTTAAATAATTATGTTTTAAATTTTGTTTTCAGCTTTTTTTTTTAAATTGTATTTTTTGTCTTACATTTTAGTTTTGTTTGGCTTTATAATGATGTGCACAACTTGACAACTTTCAGGTTCAGCTTGTGCCAAAATAGTTTACCCCGCTGTGACGCGACATACCATGCCATTGTTTATGGATATTTGGCTGCTGGACTTTCAGATCGCCTTCCTCCCCTCCTAACAGATCGTTTAACCTATGGTATTTTCCCCAACCATTACACATTGAATTTGCTATTAGATTACTTCATCAAACATGAGCAAATAGCTTCTGCTGCCAAAATGTCCTATTTATCAATGTTGCAAGAAGATTTTACTAATCCTATAACAACGCTGCTATCCTTGTATGCAACTGTCAATCATCTTCTTACATCTAATATTGATGACTTAGCTTTACCACCTGTACAGCCAGTGGAAGGTGAAGAAGAAAAATGGATTAAAGTCAAGTACATTAAATTTCCTCATTATGATGATCACTTTGACATTAAGGATGAGCGTTTCCTTTTGGGTAAAACTCTGCTTTATCTGGCTAAGTCACAGAGCGTTAGCATTCCCAAAGAGCTTTGCAACTCATTGAAGGTCATTGGTAGTGGCCTCTACCACAAGTTCACAAAGGGATTGGAATATTTAGAAAGTATAGCTAATTCTCCTGATGGCGTCATTTCACAACACGCTCTAAACTATTTTACCCAGTCTTTAGAAAAAGTGGAAGCCCGTGATCCTAATGAGCCAGAAGTAGAAATAGGCTTAAGAACAATTGATGACGTCATTCATAGATTGTTACCCACCACTGATGAGAAGCTTGAGTACCAGACTGTGTTATCAAAAGTAGAAGAGAGATTAAAAACGTCTGGAAAGGTTGTTGCTGATTATGATTTAGGTCAAGTTGTAAAGGAACTAGTTGTGTCAAATTTGGCACAGCTTGAGCCAGCAGACATATCAGCACAGCTAAAATTGTTTGATACATGGACACAAAATCGTAAAGAAGAACTGGAAAAGCAAGTGTTTGAATATGAAAAGAATTTAAGAATAGAAGAGATGAAAGTACAAATTAAAGAATTAAAAGAAAAGGAAGAGATTTTAACATATTTTGATAATGAAGAAAAGCTACGGTTAAAGTTTTTAGAGGAAGACTTGGCAAAAGATAAAAATTTGACAATTTCTCAATAAAGTAACTGAATTACCAACCTACGCATTGTACAACTACGCATTGATTTATTTTTTTACACAAGTTTCAGTATAATAAACTGAATATTGTATGTACTATTAGTGAATGTCTTTTGATTACTTTTTATTAGTGTAAGCTCTATTGAATCTACATAATTTTTCAAATCTCAGCTAAATCCGCCTAGCTATAGCCTTCATTTTTTAATACAACTGGCCTAAACAATGTTTATAAATCAAACTAAAACCTAATATATGAGCCTAACATTTTACCCATCTTTCACAAGAAGCTGTGTAAGGCCATTGTGACATTTTGAGGAGATTCAAGATGTTCAGTTTTTTTAATTGTTGGACAAGTGAACAATGGTTCATTGATTTAGCACTGTGCTTAGTACTAAAATAATGTTAATATTTAAACATAACCATATTAATTGTAGTTATCACATTTTGTTGCTTCAGAGAACAAAAAGATAAATTCCATTTGATATTTTACCTCTTTGAAGTCAGTAGTCTGGAAAATATAGTTTGAAAAAAAAAATTTGCCCACACCTAAAATGCTGATTGTGCTCTAGTCTGTCGTCTAGGAGTCCACCCAGTACTGATTGGTAACTCACTCAAAACATTAATGATGTTACACTTTTTCAAACAATTTTTGCCTCCTCACAGTCACATAATGTCAGGCCCCTCCACCTAACATGATGGAACGCCTAAGTTTGCTTACCACCGACTACCGACCCAAAATTGCTATGTTTATTATAATGCGATTTTTTTATGATAAAGTATTGACTGAGCTCTGACAACACTGAGCATATTGATCAATATTTATTACAATTTAAAAAGAAAGGTTTTAATTTTAATCATGCAAACTCATTTTCTAACATTACTTTTTAAAATGCAACACCACCGCCACACATTCAGTCTTTTTCAGTTAAGTGTGATGTCATTTATGGATTAACCCTCCAGGAAAGTAAAGTTTGTATTGACTTCTCAAGTCTGGAATGGTATTTCTTTAATTAGTTAAAGGACATGCCATAGTAATTGTTGACCTCCAAAGCATCTCAGGAAATTGTGGATCCAACATCAGCACATTCTCAGAACAATGTATACATCAGGAGGAAAAAAGAAATTAAAATTTCTTCATCTACTGTGATAGAGTCTGGTGAGAAATATTTTCTTAAAAACAATGTAAATATTTAATAACCTGATTTTAAGTTGTACCGAAGACAGCTATTCAATAAAGCTCATAGCTATCTTCAAACCTATAAGTAGGAAAATAGCAGTGGTTTTACCTCATTCCAACAAATAACAAAACTCAGTTCAAAATTATTATTTTTAAATATTAGGTAAAATATGGTTGCTGATGTGTACTTAGTATATTAGTATTACGGTATAACCACAATTGAACTCTTATGATGGAAATACAAATTAGATCTTATATATTTTTAAAATACACAGGGACAAGTTTATAGCTAATTAAATGCTGACAAGTTAAAAAATAATGCGTCTATTTCAGTGAACTATAAGTTCTTTTTAACAAATGTAAAGTGAATTAACAAAGCCACTAGATAACAATATGGCGGGGTAAATAACATTTAGTTTATTTCTGCTTGATTAAATGTAATTCAAAGTATGATACAAGAATGGAGTATGTAACTTAACAGTTGCAGCAATCACTCTAAAAGATTAGACAAAAAAATATTTACAAAAGTTGCCACTCAAAGCAGCAATCAAACAAGACGTTCATCACTACAAATTCTTCAGAAATCAAAGTGCAGCATAACTTTACACAAAAAAGAATGTACATACATCAACATAAGTGAGAATAGAAATAATATCTCTTATCTTCATAAGGAAAATGCAAGAATTACAGGCTGTTGGTTAAAAAAAAAGCATGTCCTACCCAGACCTTAGACACATTAGTTAAAATTTGGCAAGCAATCTAAGTTCTAAATTATAAGCAAAAAGGCACATCAACTATATCACATTACATATCAATAAGATTACACATTTTTTACAGTGACAAACTAAAACAACCCAAGTGGTGAGACATTTGATTTTGGCTAGAGCTGACTATAGCTTAGGAAGAAAGGTTTCAAACATCCCCTCCCATGAAAAAATTGCACAGACTACAATTTAGTACAATGTAAACGAAGATAGCTTCAACAAGTGACCACTTCACATTTAAAACCAGGTCAAGGGAAGTTGGAGATCTGGCCTAGATTATGGAAAGCCTTTGTGCAGGAATTAGATTATCATCAGCTACTCTCTTTAAATCCTTTCTTTTCTAGAATAACTGATCGTAATTAATGGGCAGAATTTTTTAAATAACCAGCCTAATTATGCAGCTGTTCAAACACTGAAATTCCTATTAGAAGGATTGAAAACATTATTGAATTGATCGTTATGAAACAACACAATGCTTATTACAGTATATCACAAAATTATAATGCCCCACACACACACAAAAACAGTCACTGAAATTTTTAAAATCCTTTTTCAAAGATTTTATTTTTTAGCAATAATCTTTTTTACTAAACAAAGTTAAGCATAAGTGATAATGATAGTATAATTATTTTTTTTAAATTTATATAAAATAAATATACATTTTTAAATAGCTGGAATTTACAAAACTAAAAGGTAAATTTAAGTTAAGACATACATGTTTGCAGGATGGATTACCTACAAAAAGTCAATGTCCCTGAACTACCTATAGAAAGCCCAATGAGACATGAGCAATGGCTATTACTCTATACTAAAGAATGGATGATAACACAGATTGTGGATTAATAAAGCTAAATATAAAGTCCGTAAAAATAATACTGCTTGTTTTAAATTTAAAAGTGTGCCCTTTTTATTTGTAGCCACATACATTAAAATTACTGTGTTGTTTTGAATTACACTTGTTTATACTAATGTTTTTCAGTGAAGTTTTTTTACATTTCTGACAGAGCTAAGTGAAAAATAGAACGTTTACAGCCAGAGAGCCTTTCTTTCTTTGTACAAAAAATAATACTGCCCTCATCGTACATTATGGAAATCTAACCATCAACAATCAAATGGAAAAAAAATTATGTACAGCTTTTTAACACGTTGGCTTAAAGAGTTCACAAGTCATCACACAATTTAAAACTGCCCATTAATGATGGTTAAAAATTATGTGCAGTACAGGCTGAAACACATGTGTATGGCAATAATAAATTAAAATCATTAATGGCAAACTGTGTTGCATAGCTCCATACCAGTTGCACAAAGTATGTTAAACCTGAAAATGAGAAGGATAACTTCTGACTCTGAAGATTAGAAAGTCCCAACTCATGAGAGTTAAAAATTAAACTGTTGACTTTCCAGTAATTGCTGGACATCTGTTTCTACAATATCATCAGGCATGTAATCAGTCAGCTGCTGGAGGTTTATGGCATACATTTGGGCTCCACTGTAAATAAATAATAAGAACAGTATGATTTCTTAAATCATTTTTTTACTAGCATAAATACTTTCAAAAACAGAGATTAAATATTTAAAATATCTTGAGGAGTGTAGTTTAACCATATACGCCTCAGAATTTCGTAAGTGATACAGTCTAATGAGTCTGTTCTTGAACTATGCATGGTTCATTTATTTACTTGTAAGAACGCACGTCTTGCTGGTAATAGAATTTTGAAGATACAGAAGGAAGCGGAAAATAAACATTTTATGCAAGTTTTCTTCTTGCTCTATCACTAGTGGTTCATTTTCAATTAATTTTATAGTTAAGTAATTTTTTTTTTTTCGAAATTACAGGCAATGTAACACAGTGAAATTGAAAAAATTAAGTAGTTCCAGTGACTACGTTAAATTTTGTTTAGGATTTGAAAAAAATTTGGATTGAAATAACCTTTTAACTTAATAATATTAATATTGTGTTTTGTTTACATATTTTTGGGATTAATTTTATTTTATTAGTTAAAAATCATTAAGCTATTTAACCGCATACATAATTAACTTTTTGTCCATTTTCCAATACAATGCTTTGTTTTTCTTTATTTAACTTATATGGATATTTTAAAAAATAAATTTTTTAAAGGGGCTGTGGTTGAAAATTGCATCATCTTTACGCTTGGCCCCACAGGAATCTTTATATGCGCAGACTACTTTAAAGGGTAAAACACTAGATAAATAAATTTTATAGGTTAGGAAAACTGGTTTTAGTATGTTTTTTTTTTACATATTCTACTATTACTACTATTTGTAACTAAACAAATTTCGCCTTTTGTTTGATGATGTAACAAGCTAAGCTTAAACAAAGAAATACAAAAATATATCTCACCATAATTGAGTTAAGAATGAATATTCTAGTTACGTTTTGGAAGTGATACAACTGAAGAAAATTGAGTGCATCCTAAAAAGTTACATTATGAAATACAAACATGTTTAGAGAATAATATGGAAAACATACTCATCTAATTCATCCGAACTGAGCACTGAGTTTGCATTTGATTCATATTCAGCCTCAGGTGAGAAAGGTTGTCTCATGTCAGGATCACCAGAGTTATATTGACTACAGAAGAAATACTTGGTATAAGGAAAATATGCTTTCCAGAAAGTTTAATTTAGTTGAATGCCACTGACAATATAATTAATTTTCATCTGATGAATTACTGTGGGGTGGGTTATTGCTCATTAACAATTTTGTGAATAAAACAAAATTACACTTACTCAGGAATCGTTGTTTTAAGATGAGGCCTGATATAGCCATCATTATTAACATTCTCTGTGAAAATAGGGTAAATTGTATCAGATATGAAATTTCCCAATGAAGATAGAGCTACACTAGTTTGGTGAGTTATAGCCATCCAATCAGGCTGCTTACTGACTGGACAAGATAGGGCTAAACATGAAGTTAGGTTAGTTTGTAGTCCCACTGTCATAACCACTGGCTTGGGCACCTTGACTGAGCTCATTTTTAACACGTTTTTCTTAACTCAGCTTCGCGTTTGTGGATTTGTTTGTTTGTTGTTAAAATTGACATCGAAAATTAGCCCACTTCTGATTGCTCTACAGATCTGAAATTTGGCATACAGGCTACTTTCGCCTAACAATTTCAGATGCAATCATAAAAACTAGCAATTAGAGACCGTAATTAACTTAATTTAATTACGCCCCAAGGACCATAAAATTGAGGACATGATTTCTAAAGATACCGACAAGACTGGAGGCTTATAGACACAGTTACTTCGGCCCCAATCGATGTGAGCGCGCTGGCCGTGATCGTATAGTGGTTAGTACTTCGCGTTGTGGCCGCGACAACCCAGGTTCGAATCCTGGTCGCTCAAGATTTTTTTAGTCCGTGTATTTATAAACACTTAGTCAAGTCATACTTAATCAAGTCATTAGATAAAGTAGAAAATAAACTATATAAACAACTTTTTTAAAAACCACGTTTTTCATGTGTAGCAACGGACTAAAAAGGAGAAAATAAAATACTTAAAAAAAACTTTTTAAAAAACCACGTTTTTCTTGTGGACTAAAAAGTAGAAAATAAATTTTTCTTTTGTGCTTCCTCGAGCTGTGCAGGTTCTTGTGATGACTGACAAAAAACGTGGGTCGGGCAGATGGGTCGGGAAATTTGATGGTGAACGTACCCACGTTTTTTGTCAGTCATCACAAGAACCTGCACAGCTCGAGGAAGCACAAAAGAAAAATTTATTTTCTACTTTTTAGTCCACAAGAAAAACGTGGTTTTTTAAAAAGTTTTTTTTAAGTATTTTATTCCATATGCCTATTTTTATCTTATAGTTTATCTTAAGAACTGCAAATACAAAAGCCAACTGACCTGCAGTGGTTGTGTAATACTTAGAGAAGACAGAGTCCTTGGGTTTATTTGGAAAAAGGGTGACGAGACTATTTAAATCTTTAACCCGATCAGCAAGACCCCGAATATTAAAGTCTTTTGTAGTAAATGGGGCCAGATTCCAGACCTCTGACCTCTCCCCTGCAACACAATCAGGCAACATTATCAAAAGACAATCAGGCAACATTATCAAAAGACAATCAGGCAACATTATCAAAAGACAATCAGGCAACATTATCAATATAATTACCTTTGAAATGCATTTTCACTAATGTAATCAAAACAGTTAAAATGAATATTTTTCTTCAATTTTTTCAAAGATTTTTATCAGGATTAAATATAAATCTTTTTTTTATTTAAAAAGTTGCTAGAAACTCAACAAAAATGTTTCAAGTTTTTTTTTTCTAATTTTGTATTGCCCAATATGAAAGGTGTGCATTAGACAACACTCACCTGTCCAAGCTATGGTTATACCACCAATTTCAGAATCACTGAAGCGTAAAAGGAATGTACCACTTTGTTTGTTGCTAAGCCAGTCTTGGGCCTGGTTCTTGCTGACAAACCCAATGATTGCCCTGCAACCAATTTCAGATCATTGTTTTTTTTACACTTAAGTTGAAGCGTTGGTATTTTTTTCACCATTTTATTTCATGAAATAAAAACTTACTCATCTGTCCACAAATCCTTTAAGTGTTCTTTTGTCAGTTTTTGAATAGCATAAAACCATTCCCAAAATGTAAATGATCTACCAGGTAATGTATCCTAAAAAATCAATTCATTAAATCATTAAGAAATACATGCTCAATAGGACAAAAGGAGAAAAAAAAACATAAAACAAAATATCAAGTGCTAAAATTGCCATTACCTTATTAAACTGAGCCCAAGTTACAAAAGAGGAATTAGGATCTTTATTATCTGCAAGTAAAGGCATTTTTTTTAAATAAAAATTTAGATTTCTTAAAATACTAATAAAAAATTTTTAAATGTTTTCTGATTGATTTATTATTACATAGTTATTCCTACAACAATACTCACTAAACAGTTTAGAGGCTATGTAAGAAAGATTTGTTTCACTCAGACCCTTGCCAGTGTGGGACATAAACTTCATGTTTAGCTGATCTGCAAGTAATCGCCATTCAACTTGATCTGGTACAGTAAATGGCACCCGACCCTGAGAGAAAATATTGTTAACAATTCAACAAACTGAACACTAAATTTGTATCTCCATAAGACATTTTGTAAAAATTTAAATATATGGTAATTTAAAGATGAGATGTTTAATTTATTATAATTAGCAGGGGTTTAGAGTTTTTAATATTACAGTGGTATTTTGATATACAAGTACCTTGAATAATAAGATTTTTTAGATACAAGCTATCTAGTAAAAGTTGGGATACATGTAACTTTGGACACGTTTATGATTAAAAAGCTTGAAGGTGAAAATGATGAAAGTTGTGAAAAAAACTATTGAAGAGAAGAGCAGAGACTAAAATTAGGCAAAAGTAACAAAATATTGCACAGTGGCATTTAAAGTTAAATGAAGTTTAGTTATCTTCATCTAAGTTTTAAAATCAAGTATAGGATTAACAGTGCAATGAGTATAATGAATTAACATTATTGAAAGAGTTAAGCAATGAAACAAGTAGGTGAACAAATTAAGTTCCTTCTCCCATATCCTCCATCTTGACCAGCATCTTAAGTCAGCTGGTCTCCAAGGTAGATATACATTATTTAACTAGTTTATTTCTTAACTATGTCTTTTTGCATTTTTATACTAAACCTATACTATTTTTTAAATTCACAAACGTAACATAAACAACTGGGGTGGGATTTTGGTGTATGTAACAGACTAATGGTATTTAGAGAAACTTGCCCTGAGGTAAAAGCAACTTGACATATACAAGCTTAAGGAACAAATTAAATTCCTATCTCAAGGTACCACTGTATTTGTAATAGAAAGTTAATTAAATATTATTAAATGATACACTATGGTAGCAGTTAGTCGTGTTATAATATTTGTTTGAGTATCACTCACAGGTTCAGCAAATGCATTATCCCATAACACGGTGGCTGTAGCATTACACTCCTGGTTGCCATGGACTGTTACAACAACAGGTAGAGACAAGGTCTGAAAGGTTTTCAAGTATCAAATTTAATTTTATGAGTCTATAGTGTTTATTGAATGACAGATATCAAGCATAATTTTTATACTGTGAACACTGACCCAAACTTGAAAGACTAATTCATTTCCACCAACACTGAACTCTGACTGGAATAGGATGCAGAATTTCTCCTCTGTCACTGCCTGTATGAACATTTTAGACTTTAAGGTTAGAGAGTACCAGAAAAATGTGTTTTCTCAACATTATATTTATATACTAAGACTATGACTATAAAAAGCTAAGTAGTTATTGTAAACTTCAAAGCATGACCAAAAATATTAAATGGATGAAACAAGTCAAATAGAAAAATAGAAAAAAAAATAGATCTATAACCCACCTCAGATCCTTTTTTATCAGCTCTTTTTATTTTTTTCAATTGCTAAAACAAGATAGACATGCATCAATAAGTAAATTTTTTTAAACCAATCAATTAAGAATAAAAGCATTGCTTAAAAAAACTGTTTCTAGCCAAGTGTTGTTTAAGTGCTTAAAAAATTTAGAGATACCATATTTCTAAAGCTGATGCTGAGCTGGCCATTGCTAGGTTGATACTCCATGATGCCAGTGTTGTTCAAGATGTCACCACTTGTATCACTTTTTGCTTTCACATCATTGCGTAACAAGTCTTTGGCTTGACTTTCACTGTAGGCGTTAAAAAGCAGTGATTATATAAAAGATGCTTCAACAACAGCAGTAGCACAAAAAATTATAATTGCAGGGTTTATAGGTCCTATTAGGGTAAAATACACTTTTACAAATACTTTTTTCAGTATTTAGTCAAGAGTTAAATCTACCTGAGGATTGTAGCTTTAACTTGCAGAGGATTCATGTGAACATTGTGAACTATATCTACCTGATAATTGTAGCTTTAACTTGCGGAGGATTCATGTGAACATTGTGAACTATATCTACCTGATAATTGTGGCTTTAACTTGCGGAGGATTCATGTGAACATTGTGAACTATATCTACCTGATAATTGTGGCTTTAACTTGCGGAGGATTCATGTGAACATTGTGAACTATATCTACCTGATAATTGTGGCTTTAACTTGCGGAGGATTCATGTGAACATTGTGAACTATATCTACCTGATAATTGTGGCTTTAACTTGCGGAGGATTCATGTGAACATTGTGAACTATATCTACCTGATAATTGTGGCTTTAACTTGCGGAGGATTCATGTGAACATTGTGAACTATATCTACCTGATAATTGTGGCTTTAACTTGCGGAGGATTCATGTGAACATTGTGAACTATATCTACCTGATAATTGTGGCTTTAACTTGCGGAGGATTCATGTGAACATTGTGAACTATATCTACCTGATAATTGTGGCTTTAACTTGCGGAGGATTCATGTGAACATTGAGCTTCCCTCCAACCAATAAACGCACCACAGCACCAAATCTAGCATCTTTCTTCAACACCTGGGGTGGCTGGTGCTCAACAATAAATGTACTGCAAAAAAAATTGGAAACTAAAAGTTTATTTCCATTTTACCAAGATTTATATCTTAGAACACTAACATTTTCTGAAGTTAGAATTATTGACAGTGCAATATTTTCATTTGTATAATTAACTCTTTGTCTCCTGAACTGTTGCCTTGTTGATTTTTTTTTTGCTTGTTTTTTTGTCTACTACCATGTCATCTATAAACTATGATCTTTTATAATGAAGTAGAATGCTTGCTCAATCTTCAATAAACAAATTGTTTTAATAACAATGACATAAATATAGGTGAATTTAGTTTATTGAAAACATTTTTTTTTAAATCACTTAAAGTCTTACAAACTAATGTTCATTTAGCAAAATCTAAGATTATGTTGGGGGACGGCATGGCCTAGCGGTGCAGCGCTAAACTGCTTACCAGAGAGTCTCAGGTCTCATAGTGCCAACCATACTATCCCTTCATACGCCCAGGTCACAGAAACAGGTGAACTCGAACTTTATTTTGCCCCATGGTTCAAAAATGGAACTTTATTTTTTAAGAATATATTGTACATTTCAAAAGTACATCCACATTGGTTGATTATAAAAACATACTGTGCTTAAAAGAACTTCATCAATTTTTCCAAGCCATCCTACACTAACCTTTCCTGATCATAATACTCATCTACAATGAAACTTAAGGGTATTTGATACACTAATTAATGAAGTGAATGTTGAAAGAAACTCTTACCTAGTCACCAGAGAAGACAGTAACCCAGTTATTGTGTCATTTAGACGAGGCAGTATATCCTCTTCTCCGTCTGGAAACTTAATGGGCAACTGTTGCTGTAGTTGTGTGGATTTCTTTATTTGTTGTCTGTTTTGCCAAATCAGATCCGCAAGAGATTCACACCTATGATTTAATTAAGTTTAAATTATATGTGGTTAACGTATTTAGAAAACCTATTTTACCAAGTACCTTCTAAGATTAAAAAAATTAGCAGGTCAAGGAAATTGTACACAAATATTTCAGAAACTGACAAATAGAAGATACATCTATTTTGATTCTCCTCCCCCCCCCCCCCCCCGCCCCTCCCCCAGTTTAGTCGTTCCCTTAATTTAACTTAATTAAAATTAAAATGATTTTAATGCATAATGTACATTGATTTCTGTTCAACTAGCATAAGTATTTTTTGTAAATTAAAGAATTACCATTGTTGCAAAGTCTCTATGCTAGAATTGTCCATCAAAAGACCATTGCCTGCTAGCTGCTGGCGCCTTTTCCATGAAATTAATTCATTATCAAGAATTTCTTTCTGAAGTTCTTGAAGACTGTGTATTGTTTGCTCATATTTTCTGGACAATTCCTAAATTAAACATGTTGAGTTGCTTTTTTATATCAGTTTGCTTTTTGTATCAGTCAGTAAACAAGATCAAACAATAACTTTTAAATAGAAAACATTATCCCATAATGGAATAATGGTCACAATAATCTTTAAACATTTAACACTTTGTATGAAACTAAACAAATTAAAGGAGACTCCTTGCAGAATGTTATCAATCTGTGGAAAGTTACTAAAATGTATAAAAGTGAAGCTGTTACCATTCTAAGATGCAGAAGTTCTTGTGCTAATCCACTAAGCTGATTGTCAATTTGATCCTTCTGAGTCCTCAACTGTATTTCCTTAGCTATTTTTTCTTTTGTGTTAGGTAGTTGGGCTATTTGCTGAAGTTGACCTAAAGTTTAGAATGTAAGTTTATCAATGGGGCTATTTGCTGAAGTTGACCTAAAGTTTAGAATATAAGTTTATCAATGGGGCTATTTGCTGAAGTTGACCTAAAGTTTAGAATATAAGTTTATCAATACAAGTTGTGGTATCCCTGTATGCTGGTGTAGGGTGCATTAACAGAAAATTCATTCATCAAAATCTGTTTTTCCAAAAGCTTACTAAATTTAATGCATTCTCAAACCAAAACAATGTTAATAAATAAGAATGTACATCATGCATTGTTGTTTTTTTAAACACAACAGCATCTGAAGTGCTGGCATGTTATAATATGTCCTCTACATAGAACAACATCTTTTCTGACAAAGTTACAAAGCTTATGTAATAAAAGGCATATGTACAACTTTTTTAAATGAACAAAATTCACTGTATCTAATTACTAACTTAGTTCAGAATCTCTTTCATTGATGTCATTATCTGATTTATTAATTGAAATTAAAAACTTTGAAAAATGCTGATAGAACCTTTTACTCAAAAATTCTAATTTGGATAAAATGATAATCAAATCAGCTCCCACATTCTAGTACTATATTAAGTAAAGTGATGGGTAATAATTCTGTTGGTTGCATTCAATCACAATAGTAGTAATAAATTATGCAAGACTTATTTTTACATTTTTTGTTAATGCTTGGTTATGGAGATCAAGATGTATAAACTGCTTGAAATTTAAATTTAACTGTTACAAAATTTAATAGAATCGATGTGACCGATGAGAAAATGCTAAGAGAAATGGGAATGTTCGGCGGTTCTACAAAAATGTACTGCGCTGACTAGATAACTGAGGTCAAAATAAGAGGGTTAGACTGTAGTAAAATAAAGTATTGAAAGTCTACCTGTTACTTTTTGACAGTCACTGAAGCGAATAATAAATGATTCTTGCTTGTGTTGTAAATTTTTTGAATCAGCTTCTGTGATCTACAAGAAGGAGATCAACTTTCTATGTCACTTAGTTACAAAACAAACCACATCAGGCAAGAAATAAAATGAATGTACCTAGATTTTTTATTTTTGTCTTTTAGCTATCAAAAATAAAATTTATGCCCTACATGACTTCTGTAGGTAGTTTTTAAAAAAGATAGATGCTATTGTAAAAGACAGTTCTAAATGTACCTTTGTTCTTTGAGTCAGGCTCTGTATCTCTGTCATTATTTTTTCACTAATATTCTGTTGATCGTCCATGAATTCTTCCATTTTCTGTGGCTGCTTAGATGATTGCTGAAAATAATGATTCCCTTAATTTTATTGGCTTGCTAAAGTAAGTCTTACAAAATTAAATGCATGCATATAAATTTAAATATTGTTTCAGTTATTTTAAATTTTAAAATTACTAGCATAATTTTACTGCATCACTGTTTTTAATTACTAAATGTAAGTTTTTATTTTATTGTCTGTTTCAAATTTTAAATTACCCAAACACAAATTAACATGAGTCTAATATCCTTCATATTTAAAATTGAACCGTCATTCAAATCGAGCATAGTTTTAAGAATTATTAAATAATCTAACAACAATCAACAACGGAGTGACCCAAACAAATTCACCAATAGTTTTGAAGTTTCTAGAGTTTATATTGCCCTGTTTAATTTCAAAAAATGACTAACATCTTGCACAATTTAAAACTTTTGAATTAGTTAAAAATTCTTACCTCTGCTTGTTCAATAACTCTCTGCTCCATTGATAAGCAATTTTTAATTATCTGAACCAGTTCCAGTGGGTTTCTTTTCAATGCAACCTTCAGAGATATTAAATGTAGACATTTTTGTAAACTGACATTAGCTTTTTGAATAAAACATGAAAAGACAACTTAAAATGTATGTCGGAACAAGTTGTCTAAAAACTTGTAATATAGAAAGTAAAATTCACTCCTAGAAATATTGTAATATGTAATACAACACTTTGTATTTCCACCATTGGTGGCTGTTTTGTAAAATAATGCATATATTAAATAAAAATAAATAATAATTTTCTTAGTAATTAATACAAATTTAGTGCGTTAACATAGGTAAGTGTAATCTTTGTACAACTATTAGCCAGTTTTGAGAGACAGATAGAATGTAACTATTAAAAAAACATCGCATCAGTATAATTAGCCTCCTAATTTGAAGAGGTTGGCTCTGCTGGATATCAAATCTGTTATCATGTGCCATGACTTCATGTAGTTTTACACACTAATTTAAAAAAAGGCTAAATTGTTGTATGTTGTGTAATTCTACTAAATACTTGTAATGCACAAGTGTAACTATTACTTACGTCGATTCTCTGAACAGACTCTTCAAGTTTTATTCTTATTATAAAAAATTCTTGGCTGGTCAATTCTTCAGCCTTTTGTCTAAGCAGATCCAACATTTCCATCAAAATTTTCTCAGCAATAGGAACAAAACTAGGATTATTTTCATCTATCTGATCCCTATGGAAGTCAACAAAGCAATTTAAAAATACAATTAATACTGTATTTATTTACTTTCATAAATTTAAAAAACTTCAAAGCTGACTTTTTATTCACCAAATTATCTTTCAGCGTTTAATTAAATTAAATGTTGGCATGTTTTAACCGTACAACATAAATATTTTTTGTTTATTTATAATAAATTTCAAGTTTCAAAAAAAGATGATCTTACCACTGCTGTTCTTCTATCCACTGACAGAGAAAATATCTCACCTCCATTGGAAAACATGGAGGATAGTAAGTTTGCATCTGTCGAAATATGGCAGGGCTTTGCTGGACCTTGGCCCACTGAGACATATTGGGATATCTTGGCAGGTATCTCTAAATTTTAAAAAATTGTGATTTAATTTAGCTTACCTGATAAATAATGGCTAACTACAATTTTCATGAACCATTAGCCATATCTAATGTTAGCTTAATTTTTATTTTTAACATCTAATTGATAATGATGAAAAAAATAATATTGTATTCAAGCCAAAGTGTTAATCCTAACAGCCATGACAGTGATGGTTTAAGCAACATCTTAATATAACAGTGCATATTTGCTGGCACAGCTCAAAGATAAGAACAAAGCTTTTATTGTTGTAGCTAAAATTATATCAAAATAACCAAAGAATTATTTTAGGTTTTTGATAAAAAGTGACATTTTTCAGCACTTTTCATTTTATCTGGTTTTATAAATACTTCTGTTTTGGGCTAATACTTTGAATCATAAAACATCAATACAGAAAATTGCCACATTTTAATTTACAAAATCAGGAATAATAGTATTTTGAAAACAGTACAATGAGCAAATGATTTTTAACATCTACGATTTAATGATGGTAATACATATTTAAATGACTACATCAGTGAACAATGTTCTCTTAACAAGCAATATACAAAATAACGGATACATACAAATGCTAAATATAATTTACTGTTTAATGACACATACCTTATTTACAATTGTTGGGACCTTTGATAATTATTAAAAATAAATGACTGCTTTTGTCTTTAACTTATCACTGTTATCACATATCTCTCTAGCTTTCTATTAGTGATCAAGCATTATAATCATATATGGCATGGATATGTATTGAATGAATTTTAGACAACACATTTTTAGATATAAAGCACTTTTAGAAAAAATATTTAGTACAAATTAGATGTCTGAAATAAAGGTATCCATGGAAGACAAATCAACTTTAAAGTGATTACTATTTAAAAAATGATCTAAAAATTTTACATTCAATCTTTAAGTCATCTATTTATACAAGTTATATGTCTTCATTTGGATTTTATTTATTTGTAAAGATTTGTAAACAGAAAAATGCACTGGACTTTAGTGAATACACTAAATAATATTTTTTTTAATTGTTAAAAGAAAATTTATTAATATGAAATGACCAACTTACTTGTTCAATCTTTTCGACATTGTTAGGCATGTCCCCATTAACAATAGGGACTGACATATTTTAAATTACAAATTCAAAAAGTCTTAATCTTCAAATTGATGATCAACTACTTATAAGCTAGACAACATAACTTGGTTGTTTTTCTTAATAAGAAAAGTATCCTTTATTTTGTGACTATATTAACACTAGTAATGCCATCTATTACAATCCATCATTGTGTACTCACAATGGTCTACTATAAGAATAAAACTGTTAAAAATAGTGTAGTTCCTGAAAATATATGAGATTGGTTTAGGTTTTCCCACACAAATTTTAAAACTTTATCTACCACTATAAAGGACAGTATTAATACAGTGACACACATTTACTTTCAATATCCTTGAGCCACTCCTCAGTTCTAAGAACTTGTTTGGCCTTAGCCTGCTTTATGATTCCTAGAAATGAATGGCCTTCCTATATGGTAAAATGGTTCCTGTACAGTAGAAGCCTTAACTTCAAACTGGTTTGTAGGATCATTATGACAGGTAATAAAGAAACTAAACAATACTACTTGGATTTATAAGGTGAGTAAATACCATAGCACCTATTTTAACTTGAAACCAACACATATTTGCTCTTTTATTTCAATATATCAACTTAACTACTGTAGTTTTATGTTTGAAGATAGCTCTACTAAACAACTAAAAATATAGATCTAGATTCTACTAGATAGATCAAGTATACATGGGTAACCACATGTTAAAACAGTGCACATTTAATTTTTTATTTACATTAAAACACTTATTTTTTCCTATTAACATCATACATTTATTACCTAAAATAAACTCATGAAACACAATTTTCAATACAGGCATATCTATTGGATAAAAACTAAATGGCCTACACCTAGAGAGAGATTAACAATTAAAAGAAACCACATAGCAACCACTTTTAACCTCCTCTAGCTTAGCAAAATATCTCATGGTTTTACATTTTTTTTAAATAACCTTAGTAAAGTTATGATGTATTACTGTGTCACCACACATACATTATATTCTGTAACAGTCTTTATTTGTCTTAACTTAAAGAAACTAAATGGCTGTTCACAACCAGGTTATGAAAATCTGGACATTCATTTTATTACTGATAAATACATTGAAAAATCAATATCCTAATTTTGAGCTAGACGTTTTAGATTATGTTAGATATATTTAATGGGAACCCTTATGTAAACATTAGAGAGAGGTTAGAGTATATCTACCCAAAGGATTTGATACATGTTATTTATAAACAGTCCACTTTTCACTTTCTCGTATTTGCAGTATTGAGGAAGTATAGTAATCATGCAAAAAAATCGCAATTGAGATTTTTACAAATCTAGACATTTTACACCTCCCTGAGTAGGAAAAAATTATAATAATGTTAGGGTTGTGTGTGCTATTGTCCAGCTAATGCCAAGTTGTGTGTGCTATTGTCCAGCTACTTACAAGGTGTGTGTGCTATTGTCCATCTAATGCCAAGTTGTGTGTGCTATTGTCCAGCTAATGCCAAGTTGTGTGTGCTATTGTCCAGCTACTTACAAGTTGGGTGTGCTATTGTCCAGCTACTTACAAGGTGTGTGTGCTATTGTCCATCTAATGCCAAGGTGTGTGTGCTATTGTCCAGCTACTTACAAGGTGTGTGTGCTATTGTCCAGCTAATGCCAGGTTGTGTGTGCTAATGTCCAGCTACTTACAAGGTGTGTGTGCTATTGTCCAGCTACTTACAAGGTGTGTGTGCTATTGTCCAGCTAAAGCCAGGTTGCGTGTGCTATTGTACTAGTCAACAGGTTTAAAATCAAATGTGCAATCCACAATTTTTTTAAACCCTAAAGAGACTGAATGGAATGAGTTTACAAGTTGTGTTGACACAGAAGCAAAACTAAAGAAATATTTTTTTGCAAACAGTTTAATCATCAGCAATAGTTGATCACAAAAATTAAAATAGTAACATATAATTTTTGGTCAAATTTGTTCACGGGTGATAATATACTCTAGGTGAACTAGTCAAAACATTGGGTATAAAAAATTTTATAGGTGTGCATGTGACTGGGGTACACAGAAATGAGAGAAAAAATATTTAAAGCTACATTTTATTATTTTACAGTTTCATACAGGCATCATAATATATAAAAGCTCCCATACACACTTCTCTCTCTCTCTCTCTCTATGTCCACAACATTTGTGAGGCTATGTGATCAGTATGTTCAGCCATATATGGAGAACTTAAAGATACAGAGTTTTGTTGAAAATAATATGTTGGATGTTTAAATGTATAAACTAAATTTTATTTAAGAAGGAAAATAAAAATAAAGGCATATTCAAATGTAGAAACTCATTTTTAATTATGCAACCGGAATAGTGATAATTGTTATGACAATAACACAAAAGAATATGATAATAACTACGGGAAGTACACAAAACTAATGGCGTCATCTTCCAATTTTAGAATACGAAGAAATGAACCATTTCATTCAAATTTTATTTAGATCTATAGATCTACTTATCAAGACTAAGGCTACGTTACAAAATGTATACAATTTTCTCAGCCAAAAAACAACATAAATACCATTGAACAGCCAGGTTTTAAAAGGAATCATTTAAGTCTCTTAATCAGTGTGTGCATTTAATATGGTGTTAGGTTGACTAATAATGTATTATAATTTGGTTTTCTAATAGGTAATGGTAGCCTATGTTATTTTAAATGTGTCGATTAGCTATTTAGTTATTTCTTTGCTTTGTCACTAATATCACTCAACTTGTAGTTAAGCACATTGCATTTTGACCAATAACTATTTTATAATATATTTATCTCAAACAAGTATAACATTAAAATATAGGTTCCTATAATTCATGTGTAACGGGTACCAACATCAAGTAGGTATATTAAAGCAAAATTTAACAGATATTTTAAAATGTGCATGGCATGTTCTGATAAAAGATAATATTAAATTAAATTCACTAAAAAGAGGAAAAATGTACATGAAATTGAAATTTGTATACCTGCAATTGTTTTATTTTATTAATTGCCTGAAATTCAATTTTTTATATGTTGTGTAAAAGAAAGATAGGTTAAGCATGCAAGTGGCTTAAAGAATCACCACACAATTATGATGGTGTGATGGCATAGATTTGCTACTAAAGTATGGTTGACTGTACACAATACTAGACTAAAAATAGATAATGACAGACAGATGATTTAAGCTTGTTTTAAAGCTAGATAATAATAACGGAAGACACTGTAAATGTAAAAGTAAAGTTCCCTTTTCAAACCTGACAGTCTATAGGGCAAGTGAAGTAGAGTTCACTTGTTTCTGTGACCTCAGCATATGAAAAGATAGTGTGGTCAGCACTATGCCCAGCCACTTAACTTTCCCTAACGTGAGTTAGTAACCCATCAGAGCTGGGTGGACTAAGGGACAGTCTGCTGACTTAAACCTGGATTCGAACTTGAGACTTATGGGTTAGCAGTCCAGCTCTCTACCGCTAGACCACTCGGTCCCTAACTGTAAATGGGTTAGACGGTATTTGCTATTGTTTTGTTTGTTGTGATAGAATATATGCAGTGTGAGTGTGCTATTGTTTTGTTTTGTTGTGATACAGTGTGCTATTGTTTTGTTTGTTGTGATAGAATATGTGTAGTGTGAGTGTACTATTGTTTTGTTTGTTGTGATAGAATATATCTAGTGTGAGTGTGCTATTGTTTTGTTTGTTGTGATAGAATATGTTAGTGTGAGTATGATGCAGCAAGAGCAGAATGATGAAGTAGACAAGGTGGGGAGACGGTCCATAGGCAAGGATAAGATAGGAAGTATTGGAGATAGTTGATCCTTAGACAAGGATAGGAAGCATTAGTCTTAGTTTAGGACAGAATTCTAGAAGGGAAGAAAGATTAGTTTGTCTAATATATTCCCAATAAATCTTGTGTGTAGAATAGTCTTCAATGTGTTATTATGAATGCACAGAACTAAGTACTACACCACCATCATCAGTTGTAGCAATATAGGCCAGTTGCAGAGATTATTATTTTAATATATAGAACAAGTTTATGGTAGAAAAATAGTGAAGCAAAAATTCAAATGAATTTTTTATCCCTTGTTATTCATAATTTAATACTACCACATGATATGAGTCTACAAAAAAATATTATTTGATGTTTATATTATTTTTGGTAACTAAACAATTATAGAGTTAAAAACAATTTGATTTTTTCAATTTATCACTGAAAATTTAATTAAACATGGCATAACTAGGTCATGAGGTTTTAAAAGTATAGGCCCCTAATTTTTTTTATTTTATTGGCAAGGTTTTGAGTACAAATTGCTACAAAGTGTGGTTTTCAAAAGATCAATCATGGTGTTTCTTTCTGTACAGCCAATCAATGTTTATCTTACAAGAGAAGTGAAACAGGTTATAATTTAGGGTTAATTAAAAATAAATAGTCCTATGCCTAGATAAATGTAGCCTTAAACACAAAAAATTATTTTCAAGTCCTCTGCATTTGCAACTTTTAATTCATATCATTGATTCTTAAAATATTAACTATCTGAAATTATTTCAAGCTTAAGGTTTTTTAATTATTAATTTTTTCAATCGCTAATGTGTGTTTCGGTTGTGTTTATAATAAAATAAGCTCAACAGAGGTGAACGTTAAGGGGCGAATAAAATATGCTAAACTGGAGTTTTACCGATCTAGATTCTTATTCTACTATGATGGATACTCGTCAGTATGATGATAGTTAAATAAAATAAATAGTAGGCCTATTATTATTAAATCTAGACTTCTAACTAGAATAGATTGAGATTCTAGATCAAGAATCTAGATTAGATCTTGTACTCAGTACTGTCACTGTGCTGTGGTAGTGGTGTCAGTAAAAACTGACTGATAAACAGCTCACATACTACATAGTATAGTACATAGTCAGAGTACATAGTACATATAATTAGGATTTGGACAGGACCTGTCTAGCGGCTAGACTCTAGACTCTACTACGATCTAGATAGACTATATCTAGTACTAGCAGCACTTTAGGCGCTAGACTGCGACTAGACTCAGAGTCAGAGTGCTGAGTCTGAGTGAGTGAGTAGTCCGAGTTCTAGATCTACATTATACAACTTTTAGTCCGTCCTGAACCTTTTCTATTTTTCTAAAAGCTCCATTTATTTTTGTTAGACTCTATGCCTAGTTGCTTGCAAGCTGCACTTACCCTAGATTATCGTAATAATAGCTGGTAAAACACGTTTCCAAAAAAAATTAAGAACTGAAAGTTTGTTTCCGAGAAACTCTTCCTAGTCTATATTTATCGAAGTAACATGGTGTTTCATATTTTCTGTAATTTGATTGGGCGATAATTTGAGGAAATCCTATTTGTCGTCCAGTGTATTTTGGTACAAAAAAACAGAGCTAAGAGTAAGAGTTTCAGTTTCGCAAACAACAATATTTAAAAGATTCGTTCTCTTTTTTTAAATAAGTATTAATCACTATTTTTTATATTTTGTATAGAGTACATCAGTCTATGCCGTCGCCATTTTCATCTAAGAGTCTAAGAAGGATTGCTGTGAGGTCAGAGCCGGCGTTAGGGGGTGGCGAACGGGGCGGTCGCCATAGGCCCCGCGCTTGAAGGGGCCCCGCGCTTCAGCACTGTCACTGTTATCTGAATTAGTTTGTAAACTTAAAAAAAAATTGTTGCTGAATTCAATTGGGAAAAACTAAATGGTCGAATGCCGACGTTGTTGATTGTTATAACTAAGGCCACGGTTGATGTTGGTGAGTCCCACCTGAACTGGGACAGGCCGTAATTCGATACAAAAATAGTGTCACACCTACCCTTTGTGTAGGGTACGGTCGCCTGGCATTTGACCTGAGCTGACTGGAGATGGCGGTCGAGAATTAGCCCACGACGTAAAGAGATACCCTATTGTATGCGGACCCATGAAGACGTCTTTTTAGTGAGCAGACGGGATGTCTGTAGTAGACAGTTAGTGACCTGATGAACTCTAGTCCTGACTTTCTTGTTGTAGATGTCGTATATGTACAATGTTTCTTCCAGACTTTTTTCTCGGGGGGGGGGGGGGGAGGAGGAGGGGCACTTGAATTTTTCGGGGGGGGGGGGGGTAGATTTTCTTCGGGGGGGGGGGGGCGGACACTGTTAAAAGTATATATTTTCTATATATATTATATAAATTATAAATTATATAAATTTCATTTCGTTTTCGTGGGGGGGGGGCCTTGCCCCCGAAGAGATGCCTGGAAGAAACTCTATATGTAGGCCTACTTGTCTTGGTATAACAAAATTAACATTCAGTTGCGTGCAGGGGGGTGGGAGGAGAGCGACGAGGGGGGGGGGCGGGGGGGGGGAGGCCCTTAGGATCTATATCAGGCGGCATTAAACAGAGTGATTTATTATTAGTTTTTAGAAGAAAGTTAAAACTGTTGTTATGTTGTGTCACCTTAAGGATTCACCCGTTCAATAATTAAGACAATGTTTTTGGTTTTAAAATATTCAATGAATTCTAAACAAATTTTGAAGTCTATACTGTTTTGATACATCAGGCCGAGTTCGCTGTATTGTAAACTTTATTTTCCTAATTATTTGGCAAGTGATTAGATTTTCTTAAGTGATTTGGTATGAATTACATAACTGTCAAAAGTGATTTAATATCTTAGCAAAGGAAAAAAAACTACGAACATTGGGTTAATACATGAGAGAGATAAACATCTGTTATTATAGTGGAAAGTTTGACATTAGCTTATAAACTCCAAAACATTTGTGTTATTATGTGTACATCACATTATATAGGCCTTTATATATATATATATATATATATATATATATATATATATATATGTATATATATATATATATATATGTATATATATATATATATATATATATGTATATATATATATATATATGTATATATATATATATATATATATATATATATATATATATATATATATGTATATAATGGAAAGGCCCCGCGCGGATGGTTGGCCCTAGGCCCCGCGTATTCCTAACGCCGGCTCTGTGTGAGGTAACATCATGCCCAGCCTGCTTGGTGGACTAGAATCCTCAAGAAATTCAAGTCATTCGGGCTAGCATGCACTTCATCACTATTCATCAGAACCACTCTGTTGTAACGTCACTTGTGGTTATATGCTGTTAATTCTCGATAATGAGAGTTTCTTTCGGATATTTTTCCGGTGGGGGGGGGCGCACTAAAATTTCTCCAAAGCCGAGAAATACATAACTATGTTGATCAGGGTGGTCGCCAATTAAGGCTTCGTGCTGCTACGATTTCACCCCCGCCCCCATTATTATTATCATATTACGCCACAATCAGCCCCCCCCTCCAGGGGCGGAACTACAGTGCCGCCAGACCCCGCAATGCGGGGGGGGGGGGGGGGGCACGCCATTTAGGGGCCCAGAGCCGACCATAAAAAAAAATTTTATAGTTAAAAAAAAAAGTAAATTTTCTTTCATTTTTGACTTGATGGTTGTTTTGTATAATAGATTGACGACAGAAGCCTGTGGTTGTATATAACACATTTAATGGGTCTAACTACATCACGATGGTAACACACCGAGAGGACGAGAGGACGGAAGGAAGTACACAAGGGACATCACTCAAGATAACAATATTATAAATATAACTAATACAGAAGAGTGAGTTCCCTTGACCTCACAATTATTTCAATCTATTACATCCCTTTACCCTTAGAACACAATAACACATCTCTCAATAGAACAATTGATAGTATCCTAAAATCACCAATTATATTGTAACATGAACACTATGGTAGATTACATCCTTACAAACAATGCACAATATGCTACAACATAATCAAAATACAAAACAATAATGTCAAAGTCCTTTTGACCTTTAGAATCATAGGTCTAACTTATTTGGGACTTTGATTGTCCTGCTTGACCTTCTCAGTGGCTTCTGATTTGGTGACTCAAGATTCTGACCATCTGGATTCTCTATCTCAGGAGGTCTAGGATTTAAATCATTAACTCCAGAATTTACATTTTCTGACTCCAGAAAACTTGGTTCACTCATATCAACAGAACTTGGTTGTGGAACAAACTGAGTTGGTGTGAACTGATCAGACTTGGTGGGATTGACAGATTCACACTTATTATCTGCACAAGTTATTTTTAACTGGTCTGCATGTCTACGGACAATAAGTCCATCATTTGTTTTTACTTTATAAGACACAGGTCCTGTACATTGAACAATTTGACCTGGTATCCATTTTTCCTTTCTCCCATAATTTCTTAGATACACATTCTTATTAACACCAAATTCTCTTTCAATGCATGCGTTGTCATGATTTAATGGAACTATATTTGAATTGGCATCTGAAAGTATTAAATGGCAAAAATCTTTTTTTTTTTTTTCTTTTGATGTTACCCTTTTAGTTTCTGTAAGTGCTAATGATGTTAGCAAAGTTGTTTGATGATCACATTCCTTCTTACTAATGTATTTTCTTTAAACATTTGAAATTGCCATATCACCATAATCATTTATTAAGTTACAAATACTTTGTTTAGGCAACTCTGACTGATAATGGACTGTATCTTCTCCATCTTTTATATTATCTTCACAAAGGGTTTTAATTTCTTATTTTATATGGCCTTAAGTCATCATTCACAGACTCTTCAGGCCAACCATTCTTACAGTACTCATATACTTTTATTAAGCACTCATCTTTTTGTGTTTCTCTTTAATATCATTCACATTTATATTGGAGTTATCCATGATAGTGAAGAGAACAAATACATCTTCTGGTACATAGCTCAGGCTTTGGTTTTTTAAAGGTAGTCTACTAAGACTATCTGCACTATTATCAGATCCAGGTTTGTATTTCAATTCATAATTGTATGCAGTTAGTGTGATAGCCCATCTTTGAATTCTTGGTGAGGCATGCTCAGGTAGGGTTTTGTTTTCTCCAAATAAACCTAGCAATGGTTTATGATCTGTAAAGATGGTGAACTTCCTACCAAACAGAAACTTATGAAATTTCTTAACACCAAAAATGATGCCTAAGCCTTCCCTATCTAACTGAGAATAATTTTTCTCAGCCTGGTTCAAAGATCTACTGGCAAAAGCAATGGGTCTGTCACCCTTCTCATCCATGTGGGACAAGACTGCTCCTACACCATCTGGTGAAGCATCACATGTTAATATAAGTCTTTTCCCTGGGTCATAGTGAGTTAGTAAGGTGTCAGAAGACAAAGCCTCTTTTGCTGTATTAAAAGCAGCTTCTTGTTGTTTACCCCAGTGCCAAGTTGCATTTTTCTGTAGCAGCTTGTACAGTGGTGATAGTTTACCAGACAGATTTCCTATGAACTTTGCATAGTAATTTATCAAGCCCAAAAAAGCTCTTAGTTGTTGGGTATTTTCAGGTTTGGGTGCTTCTTTAATGGCTTTTGTTTTCTCAGGTTGAGGTCTGATACCTTGCTTGCTTAATATATAACCAAGAAAACTAATTTCTGTCAGCATGTATTGACATTTATCTTTGTTTATCTTTAAACCTTTTTCACCAACAATTTTCAAGACTTTATCAAGTGTTTTAAGATGTTCAGTGTCATTCTTACCAGTTATGTACACATTGTCAAAGTACACACAAACATTTGGAATGTCCTTAAAAATACTGTCCATGACAGCTTGGAAAATTCCAGGGCTGGATGATATGCCAAAACATAGTCTTTCATATTGGTAGAGTCCTTTATGTGTGTTTATTGTCGTATAGACTTTTGAATCTGGATGCAGTTCTAGTTGAGTGTAAGCATGACTAAGGTCTAATTCAGTGAATTTGTCTCCTCCTGCCAAATTCAAAGAAATTTCCTCAATGTTAGGTATAGGGTACCTATTTAGCTCTATTTGCTTATTCAGTGTAGTTTTGTAATCTCCACAAATTCTTATAGAACCATCCTTCTTTAACACTGGCACAATGGGCGTTGCCCAATCAGAATAGTCTACCTTCTTTATAATGCCATTAGATTCTAATCTGCTTAGCTCATTTTCAATTTTATTCCTCATTGCATAAGGTGGAACTCTAGCTTTGCAGTATCTTGGATTTGTATCTTTAATGCTTAACTTCACTGTTCTATCATTTAGTAATCCAGAGTTACCAAAAACACATTTATTTTCAGATATTACTTTATCTAGTGAAGTAAGACTAGATTCTTTTACATTCTTCAATGAACAAATACTCTCCCAATTTAACTTAAGATCACTTAACCAGTTCCTACCTAGTAATGGCGGTCCATTTCCTTCAACCACAAGAAGAGGAAGTTTAACACTTTGACCATTATAACTTACATGAACCATACACTCTCCTATTACCGGAACATTGTCACCAGTGTATGTTGTTAGACACTTGTGACATGGCTGTAGAGGCACTGATCCTCCTGTGACAGCGTCAAAATCTTTCTTTGTTATGACTGTTAGAGATGCTCCAGTGTCAAGTTGGAAGCTGATGCTCTTACCGTTGATATTAACTGGTACATTGATGGGAGCATGACTTATTGATTTTACAGAGAACAGGCT